ATTTTACACAAGTGTTGAGACTCTCTGAAAATTAGTGATGCAACCTCAGTGGCACTGGACTAGAGGATTTTTTATTCAAGAGACAGGAATCCATGCTTCCCAGTCCTGGCTGTGACAGCCTGTCTTCTTCCATCACTCGGGTAAGAGAGTGCAGGACAGCAAAAGCAAGAAGCTGATAAAAATTACATGATTTTGATTTGGTGCCAGTGCCCTTCTTATCCTAGTTGTGGTTGTTGTGCATAAAAATGAGGATGGCTGATTTAAGACTGGGTCCCATGGATTATACCTAAATACAAGTGCAAGATTCCTTCTTGTAAGAAGCAGGTCACAGCTCAGCCGTGAGTTAGTTGTGTGCTCAGATGTGTGAAGAGTACATATCCTGTGGTTTTGACAGCAAGGACTTGGCCTTTTGAGGAGTGAATGTTCCTCAACATATTTTTCTTTAACAGGTATTTGGAAGAAATTTTGTTTTGTTTGTTATCCTTGGAACCTTGGAGGAAATGCAGAGCAAACCTGTGGTGTTCTTCGTATTTTATTTCTGGAGTATCACTGAGTTGTTCAGGTTGGTGGGATTTTCCTCCTACCAGGTGTGCACAGAACCAAAGTGGTTGTTCCCAAGAACTCTGTAAAGAAAATTTTGATCTTTGTATTTTTTGGAAGACTAGCACCAGTGCATTGGCCCCAGAGGGTAAAAGCTCCTTGAGTCATGGACAACCTTCCCAGGCTGCTCCATTTGCCCAAATCTGAGGCAGGGCTGGAGTTTGATGGTGATACTGCCCTGTTGCTTTATTTCTTGAGGGGTTTGCTTTAAATTTCCATTGTTAAATCAACTCTGTATCTTTGAAAAGAAGTATTTTGAAAGGTTTCTAGGCAGCCAGGCAGTTGCCTTCATCCCTTTTTTCAGAGTAAGCTCTGTAAACTGTCCAATAATGGAACAATGCCTTGAATATTCTTGTGTCATTGGGAATTGTGTTGACCACACAGTGTGTACACACAAGATTAATTCTAGTAGCAGCTTCCATTTTAAAGTCTCTGTTTCTCCTCCCACTGTAGGTATCCCTATTACATGCTTTCCTGTATTGGAATCGAATGGAAACCACTCACCTGGCTCCGTTACACTGTCTGGATCCCTCTCTACCCCTTAGGGGGCTTGGCAGAAGGTATGTCCTTAMAACACAGTTCAATAAATAATGAATTCAAGGCTGGGAAAATAATCTCTTTTTTGGCTGCTGGACTTAAAATAGTAAAACAACAACAGATTAAGTAGACTTTCTTTGAGGTGAACCAGATATAAGGATTCTTGTCTTTCATACTGAATCAAACACTATTTTCAATTTGATGTGAAAAGAAATGTTCATTTTGGAAGAAAAACTCTTCTCTGGAGAGGGAAGGGCAACAAAAGGTTCCAGAACAAGCTGCACAGGATGCCAGCGCTCACTTCCCTCTGCTGCCCCAAAGCTTTGTCTGCTGGGCTTGACTTGCTGAGCCTGGCTTGGGTTCACACCAGCACCCAGGTCTTGACATTACCTTGTAAATCACTGCAGAGTGTAGGCAGGGRCTGATTCTTGTGTTGCAATCCCACTTGTCTGTTGCAAACCCTTATCTGTGAGCCARGTGAAGCTTTGGGTGTTGCCCAGTGCTGAGCAGGGGGAGGACGGTGCCTGTTTTATTGCTGGGGRTATTTCTGGATGGCAAATCCTGCTGGCACAGCCCCTGGGGCTGCAGCTGTGCATGRGAACAGTGTCTCACCAGGCAGGTTCACTGCTGCACCCCCTCAGCCAGGTGCTTCCCACCCTATTGCATGTTCAACACCTTCAAAATTGCTGTCATTAATCAGYGCTGGCAAATAAGAAGGAACTATGCTGAAATAGTTGGTGTGGGCTGGGTAATTGTATATTTTATCTGTGCTTGCTAATGATGGTGACTTTCTGCTTCCAGCTGTCTGTATTGTTCAATCCATTCCAATCTTCAGTGAAACAGGGAAATTTAGTCTGGGATTGCCAAATCCACTGAATGTCACAATCCAGTTTCCATTTGTGCTTCAAATATATCTTATAGCCTTGTTTTTAGGTAAGTATTTAATTTTATTTCTCAGTACTGAAATAAAAAGGCCAGTTTCCACCAAATAACTTGATTTTTCAAAGAAAATTAAATTTCTGCATCTTGGGGACCATGGCAGCASAAAAGTACTTGAGGTTAAGCATTATCCTTGTGGATTGTTAATGWAAAATTTRTCAGTGATGGAGGGGAACACACTTSCAATGAGYTYTGATTAGCCTTYCAAARAGGTGRTCTTGGTWACAAATTAGCAGCATTGAAAGAATATTTATAACCATGGTATACTTAGTTTCACCTTTTACTGGGTGTTTGAACTTTGGAATGATACAGGGTAATCKAAACATAATTTCAAATTAAGGCAATTTAGTTAAACACTGCGGTGTAATCACAAATGCGACTTGAAATCATGTTTTTCCAGGAAACAATACAGAAGTCTCTTTAAATAATATATTTAAAGAAAAGCTGCTTGATACATACTTGGTTTCTGGTGTTACATTTGTAAGCACAATTTAACTTCCTCGTGCCCACACCCAGTACTCTGAGTATCCACAACTAACCAGAATCTAACCTAGAATTTTAAGCTGAACTTCACTAGATTTCTCCAGCTCACAGACATTGCTTAAAGCCACCCTTCAGTTGAATTTCACCCTGAAATACCTGGATCATTCTCCATAGCTCTGCACAGCTGGTGTCACAACATCTTAAAGGTGACAAACCAACCTTCTGAGCAGCCCTTTACCCAACAGCCTGTGCAGCAGCTCCTCCCTCACCCAGCAMGAAAACACTTGCATTAGCTATACACACCCCGAAATAATTTATTCCTTTGTGTGGTGGTTGGGTTGGTTGATTTCTGTTACTGTTTTTTAAAATCTGGTACAGCCATTTAGCSTTAAAAAGATGCAGTGATGTCCTAYCTAAACACTTCGTTCTTTTCCAGGGCTATTTGTAAACTTCCGTCACCTCTACAAGCAAAGGAAACACCACCTTGGACCAAAGAAGAGAAAGATGAAATGAAGGGGGACTGCAATGCTTTCTTATTTCACTTGACAAGACAAGCCTCTAATTCTTATGGTTTTACCCACTGTTATGTAAAGAATTTTGTAAAATGAAATGACCACGCTAGATTTCATGATTTCATAGTGAATTCAGGTAACATTCCCTTATATTGGATTTTGTTCCCTTTCTACCATCTATGCATGGCATTTACCATTGGACATTTAAACGTGTGTCTTGTCAACCAGCATATTAGAAAGAAATCCTATTATCTGCATATGATATGCTTATAATCAGTGGAGCAGCACTAAMTAGAAATAGTGTTTATCTTTTAATTGGAGATTTGCTCTTTCAATATTGCATGCAGATAGGGCTTCTGATGTTGGGATATGCTCTTAGCTGGCCCGTGCTGTTCCTGGGATGCATCCTGATGGCAGGAGGAGCACAGGCTGAGACCACTGTGCAGTGTTTGGGTGTTTATCAACCACTGGGATAAACTTGCTCAGCACATACCCCCTCTTTTCTTCTGCAGCATTATAGATGCTGCAGAATTAAAACTGGAAGTAGCTAATGCTGATTTAAATGCTACCAACTTTGTCTGTTTGTAGTTGAGCCTTAACAGAATAGGAGCTCTSTATGGACCATAGCAATGTGTATTCCTATAGCAACACATCCTCTMCAGTCATTAGGGAAAGGAAGCTGCCACTGAGGGCAGAAATGCTTCCCTGGTTGGTAGAGCAAGCACTGAAATRTAACAAAACATGGGAACATAGGTACCATCTACCCCTGGCATGTGACCCCCAACAAAACTTCATCCCACCATACAAAGGAGGAATGTGGAACTCTCACAGGAGATGGGGCCCCTCTGATCGATCCTGGCAGGGCTGTGGCTCCTGTATTTATAGCCTCCAGCAAGGCAGAAGTGTTTTTCTCCCTACATCTAGGGGTGCAGCAGAGAAGTTGGTGTGTGTGGTTTGACTGGCCCCTGGTGGGATGGAACAGTGGGTCAAATAAACGGAATTATTTTTAGAGCACATATCAAGTCGTAATAAGAGAGATCCCACATGGGGKTTGAAGGACCCTTTTCTCTTTGCTTGCTTTAACAACGACACCATCAAAAAAGAGAAGTTCTCCCCACATTCCAGGTCATCTGCTGTCTCACCTGGAAATCTTTGGCTCAGTTGATTTTATTTCAGCATGTCCTTCTTCAYACCGAGCCTCCCGTAGCTAATCCCAGATTCCTCTGGCCTCCTTAATCCAGTTTAGATAYGTGCAGAAACTTTCCTCTAAACTGTGGTTATGAACAGGTTGTTTCTCAACTACCACCGCAGGGCACTGCAGAGCAATGCCAGCAATCCAGAACAGACACTGAAGCTGAGATTAGCTTAGTGTCATGTTACTGTTTATCTTTTTCTACTGTAAAACAGTATGAACCCTCCAGAAAGTTATTTTATATATATTAAAAGTAAAAAAAACAGCAGAAGGTTTGTGATATGGACCCAGTGCTTGTTACTGTAAAGGAAAGGAAATAATGTTACTAGGAGACTTTACAAAGAAGCAGAACAAGCTCCACGCTGCATTTCACAAATTGTGTTCTGTCAAGAAGAGGCGTGATACAACTTCTCTTTGGGAGAAGTACAGCCTACTTTACTCAGGAGAGTTGAGCACTATTTACACAATATTTCACTTAGCACACGCTGTACCTATGTTTGAAGTATGTGAAAGGGTTGAATAGCTGAGTAACTGAACAGCAAGGATCACTTTCATACTTTGATTTCTCCACTGGGCATTTAAACTTCTGTTATGAAATCCGTATGTATTCATCAGTGAAATTGTGGTACCTAGTGCAAGCTGTCATGGATCTTACACTACTGAATTTTAGTCCTTCAGAAAGAATGTGTTTCTATTAATAAAGATTTACAACCAAATTTTGCTTTAGTTCAGKTGTTTATTCTTTCAATTTATACAACTTCCTGAGAAGTTGTATAATTTGCTRTTCCACTTGTGATAAACAGCTGGGAGCTGAACCTTCACCAGGTCCGTGTTTTGGGCCACACARCCTGGTTGCTATGAAAATGGAACAAATCCAACTTAAATTTTCATGAAGAATTACTCTTTATTTATATTTTGCAAGTAAAAAACATGTCCCAAGATTAAGTTATTTTCACAAGCATTGCAATGCAAGTGATAACGCTCAGTAYAGACTGCCTGTCAAGTTGGGCATAAAGTCAGGCCCAACACCCCAAAATCAGCTCTGTGTCTGATCTTGCAGGGTGCTTCTCAGACATTTTCTTTGGACTAATCAAGTTGATGTCTAAAGTGTAGTAGCTGCTTTTTAGGGTACTTTTACCAGCAAGGTCAGTTACATAGTAACTGCATTTYGGGGAGGCCAGAAGCCAAGAACTGCCTACAATGGCATTTTTTCCTCTCCTCACATGTACCAAAAAACTTTCATCCATCATTCAACACCATAATTGGCTTTGGGACACTTTCCACAGTTTCCAGGTCTGACTAAAGCCACCACAAACCAGCTACGTTTGTTCAGAGAGCACTGATGCAAAACTTCCCTGTTTGGATAGGAAGTTCTTCAAACAGTAACTGAATAGGCCCTAAAAAGTAAACAGAAGAAAATTTGAACCACTTGAACCTTAATCTAGCGAAGCTCCCAAATTGGARACTTCACATTCTCTCAGTGCTGGTACTGGAAAAGTCTGTCTGCAGAGGAGCAATGTTATGATCATAGGCAGCGTATTCTGAGGCTCCAGTACTTGCCACTTTGAGCTGCTGGGCCGCGTGTGTGAGCTGGAAGGCGGCGTCTGGGTGCGCTGTGTCGGGGAGCAGGGTGCACTCCCGCTCCAGCATGTCTGCCACGCCCTTCAGCAGCTCCAGAAAGCCAAAGGCCAGGGCTGCCTTCCGTAAACGATTCAGCTCCTGCAAAGACAGAAATCCCCTTGTAAAGCCACTCCAGGTCTTGACATGAAACTTGGGTTTCTTACGTCTCTTTGTAAAGGTGACGTTACTCACAGSGCAGCTGCTGGGAACTGCCATCTGCTCACGGACAGAAAATGCTTCAGAACTGAAGATGGTGACTGTGGCACAACTAAACAGTGGTTTTTCCCTTGATCCTTTCCTACAAATCTCCACCTCTACCTTTGTGTACCTTTTGTCTCCACTTTCTACCTTTTGTGCATTCAGCTATTGTACCTGCCTGCTTTGTCTGTGTCCCAGCAGGGCTCCAGCTTAGGCTTCACTGACTGAGTGCTGCCTTTAACCACAGTGTCCAGTAAATGTAGATACATTGATTTTTCTTCCCTATAAACTGAACAGTGCTTATGTGCACTTAGGTGGGTTATTCATTCTTGAAGTCTCTGGAGGCGGCACTACCAAATTGCTTCAGCACTAAGCTTGCAAGAGGAGTAATTACCTCCAACTGCAGTCTGGTTATGGATTATAGTGGTGTGGCCAAATGTGCCTGGAGTTTTGTGATTCTCTGCATTGTTTCTAGATAAAAGGGAGGAGACATTTTCAGACTCAGAATGACATCTATGCTCCTATTCCTCCCTGATCCCTCCCTGATTTCTGCCTGGACAATAGCGTAAATGTTCACCATGGAAGTAGAAGGGGTCATGAGAGGCACTTGAAAACATGACACATCCATGCCAGAAAATGTAGAGGCAGACCATGGAAATCACACCCCCTTGTCTCCCCTAACCAGTCTGTAAGTATTTGAAGAGCACTACAAGCCTGCACAGAGCACAGTGTGTAGTTTCCCTGTCAAATGCATCACCATCACTACGGATCAAACTTACATCAGCCTGGAACGTTACTCACTTTATAGAAGGTTTGTGTTTTTTCAGGGAGTTTCCTTGCATTTCTCAAGATCTTCTGTACATCTGTCTGCAGAAAAGAGGAAAAAAAAAAAAAGCTAAAATCTTGGCAGCTTTTGAGGGAAGCTGCAGAACAACCCCCAACTCTTTATGGATAAATTACCCTGACCATTGACAAGACTGCAGCTCACAAAGGCTGAAACATAACCGGTAATTATACTAAATCCAATTACCCAAGCCAGATGCTCCACTGGAGACACWGCTCTCATTTAACAAGCTATGCTTTCTGATTGCATTTTAATCATGACATTGTAAAGAGGCAGTGTTTATAAAAACGAAAGAAAAGCAATAAAGCAATTACATTAAATGGGCAAGACATTCACAAACTGCAATTCCTGCTAAGATGCCTGCTGCTGCTCCAGGTAAAGCAGCACAACCTGGATCATTACCTGAAGGCCACTGGGTTTAATCCASACAGTGACATTCTGAGCGTAGCTGCGCTTGTTCTTGGGCTGCAAAGGGAAAGGGCTCTTATTGTCATCCTCCCCATAAGGATTTTCTTTTGCATCTGGGAGATCGAAGAAAATATACAGACTTAGCAACYAAGAATTGGCAAGATCATTCACACAACACTGAATGTGTAAGAGTTACTCAGAGGAGTGTGACCAGTACCTGAAATGGGGCCAAGCTGTGCCATCTTCCCCAGCCATGGGAGGGGCTCAGGACCCGGTTCAAAGAGTGACATCATGAGGTTTGATTTCTTCTTGCTATCAGCTTGTGAATAAAGCATTCCATACCACTCTGGCCTGTGGAAAAGAGCAAATCCACAAAGGCTGAAAATCTGCCACCCCTCCGCCTAGACTGTGCCTCCCTCTCACTGTGTGGAGGCTCAGTGTTTTCAATTTGTACTGACAGAAACAAATCTGCAATTAAAAATCCACAGTTTCGTCTAGCAGTGCAGAGTTCTGCACAGAATACAGATATAAATAAGCATAATTTATAAATAAAGCCTAAATGAGCAAAGTAAGTGATTTTTCAGGCAGAAATCCAGCTCCATACCCCAACTGGACGAGAGCCACCATGCCTTCCACTTTCAGGCTGCCATGTAATAAAACACAGAAGTTGGGGATTTTCCCAGCAATCTGATTAGCGGAATTCTCATCTTCGGTGTCATCTGTGATCCCAGGTCCCACCTCATCCCCTTCTGGGGAAGAATGAAAGCAAACAAACAGAAAACATGAGAATAAAGTCAAACATGAGTCCTGTTTCCATGACACCACCCTTTACCATTTGCCTGCAAGAGTTMATTAATCCTTTTGTAGAATAAACAGCTGCAGTATGCAAAATAAGAGAGCTCGCGCTCAAGGTTTTCATTCTAATGCAACCACACAAATATGACATCTGGTATTTTAACAAAGAAAACCTGTGCTTCCATTCTAAATCACATTACTAGAGAAGTTTAAAGTAGTTTTTGCTGAAAGAACCCAAACCTGCTCACCTCTGTTAAGTGCAATGGGCAGTACCAAGTGTCTGGACAAGACAGGAGGGCTGGAAATATCAGCTATATCTACAAACCCAACAATTTCTAGATCTGTGGGGAGACAACAGATTTAAGTCAGATTTAAGACAGTTTAGGTCAGATTAAATCAGATTTGGAAATGGCTAAAATGTATTCAGACCAAATTTAACATGACTACTTCTTACACCACYAGGTTTTCTGAAGCAATGAGTAAAGGTAGCACAAGAGAACCAAAACTTAACTGGAATGTAAAGATGTTAATAAGTTAGAAATACATAAACCACACAGCTTTTGAAGATGAGAACAYGACTTTCAGCACACACATATTACTTCCCACAAGCTGTACTGCTGCACAATTACAGAATTGTGCACCTTGATATTTACACTGTACACAATCCATTGCTGTCTTATAAATTCCAAAGGAGACAAACCAAATACCTGCTGCTCATGGGAGCTGTGTCCACTAATGAGAGGGCTGAGAAAGGTTTTTCTTTGCACAGTTGATTTTAAAAATAATTTCTCCCCCATGAAGCTTATGAGGGTGTTCATGGAAAGCAGCCTGTGGCTGTTTCCCAGCCTCTACACCCAGAATTGGCACYGAGTTCTGAAAGTGCCTCTACCCTRCTCCAGCCCTTTAACCAGGTAYACATGGATGAAGTAGGATGATRTTTTTGTCCCSTGATATCACACATACACCAAAAAATTACACAGTCAGCAACTGATCCTTGCAGAGACAAAGTGGATGAAACTGTAATTACACAGGAAGAGAGGTGAAAGTGAAAGAGCAGAAATCAAATGGATTTTAGTAAAAAAGCAATCAAAGATTTGTTACCTGTATTAATTGCTTTAGGAATGGGGTCTATTTCCTCATCTATAATGAAAGGCTCTGGTCTGGGAAATACTTGCACATCAGATGTTAAGTGGCCACACTTGAGAACAGCATGGAATGGAGTATAAGCCAGGTCTATTAGCTTTCTAGAACACAGTTATTAAGGAAAACATAATACATATCAAATGAAAATAGCTTGTCTAAAGCACACTAACTTAGCTCCCAAGCCTTTCCTAACTACAGTTGATTCAACAGTTCTAGTGTTGTTAAATCATGAAACAAATGAGCATTATCCCAGTGATGGCAAATGAACAATAATTATGGAAATCACTGTCTTCTATCTGCCAAGCATAAACAGATGCTATGGTTTGGTTACAATGACTAAAATAAATATTGACCATAACCAGTGAAGGCCAAGATGAAATTACAGTTAACAAGATCATAAACTAAAAATAAAACAGTTTAATTAGAACATCTCATATTACCAGATTTCCTATTGTATTTGTTTTCCTTTTGAGATACCATCTGGAAACCTTCCCAAAGGCCTATTATCTMCAAGTGTACTCACCCAAACATGGATTGCACATTCTTCAGACACAGGGGGCCATCAATAGTGAAAATCTGCCCTTCCCCATTGTTTAAATCAATGAGCCTTTCCAGGCAATCTAAGGAATCTGTGCTTTGAAGCTGCAAAAAAATAAAAGGAAATATTTTTGTTGAGTGTTCTTTTTATTCTCTTTTGTACTAACCAGTATTTTTAAAGAAAATATACACAACACAGCAAAAAGCATCTGATTGGATTCTCCTACGATTTTTTGTTATCTCTCTCCTTTCCAAACAAACCAACATTCTTTGTCTCCCAGGCAATGTTCTCTTATTATCAGAAATAGAAGATTGATTTTAAACATTTCCCCAGTTATTCTGATGTGTAAACAATGCCTCAATCCACCAGTTTAATCAAAAGAACCATCCTTGACAGAAACCCTCAAGCTGAGATATCTAATTGATGCCTAAGCAGAAAATCCTTCTGTGAAAGACACAAGAATACAGGTGTCAAATCAAAAGCAATGCTATTAATAAAACCTAATCTAAGRAACATTAGTCAAATAGACTTCATTTTAAACAGTGTTTATGCAGCAGAATTCTAACTCCTGTGAAGATTTTTACAGCTGAGATTGAAATTTGCAAGAGAAAGAGAAAGAAAGAACAAAACKGACCCCTTTCCTTCAAAACTAAGGGAAGTTGTTTTGAACACTGGCTTGGAGACTTTAGTTGTGCCCTCTCATATTTCTGCATAAAGGTATTGTGTTCTCAGTGTTGAGCATCTATGCAACACAAATCATTTATACAAGAATTTAATCGTAAATTAAGAAGRGCCCCAAAAGTATTCAATGTAATTAATGCAGTAACAGTAATATAAACAGAGAAATTAAAATTCCATACTATTCCCCAGGGAGAAACCAACATGATTTATAAAGATTGTGATAATAATACAGTACGAGTAGGTAACAACAAWGCAATAACAAACTTTAAATTATCTTTCATCCAATAACTAAGCACCAGAATGTCAACTAAACCTTAAAGCACAAGAACATCAACGCATGTTTTGTGCTGACCTGGTCGTTAGTTCAGAGAAGACCAACAATTATCCAATGCAACAAAGAATAAGACATCACCTCTTCCAGATTGGCCATGCACATGACATAGAGCTTGGATGGGAACGGGAAGGGCAGTGGGAACCTGTTGCTTTCGCTGCGCTGGCTGTGAGTGGCCAGAGAGTGACGCAGGGAGCCTCTGCCGATGCCAAGGCAGCCGTCAGTGACCAGGACAACCTGCAGGGACCGGGGACAGGTGAGACACACTTCAATCTGCAGGGGGAACCTGAACACCCACATGCTGCAGCAGCCTTCCTGTAGCATGTGCTCCTACTGAAAATCCCCGCTCCCACAGGATTTCCTCCACTGAGCTGCGCAAAACAACTGCGAGTAAAATATCCAGAAAAAAAACCCATATAAAAGAGAAACTGAAGATTGAACCCTYATGATTTACTCTGTGTGCATAATAACATAACATAAATAAACATTTTCTTGGTGTCAGGCAATTGCATTATAATTTGAATTTCATACATTTAATTTTGAGTGTACATTAGTAGCACGGTGRCTACACAGCCAAAAAAACAGCCTGTTGCTGCTGGACTCAAGCAGGATTCCAGGTTTATTTTCAGATGGAAAATAAAGCCCATTTTTTCTGCAGAATCTGCAGGGCAACTCAACTTCACTGTAAGCCACAGAAAGTGTAGTATTAATRATCTTAATTCTTTGCAAATACAGCTGCAGTGTGCTCACATTTTACAGCAGAAGGACATGTTTTCCCATTCAATTGCAYGTCCAAGGTCAATCCTTGTGGAAACCTAATAGAGTACACTGAATAACTGGATTATTTACACTCAGCTGTGAGCCAGTCACTTCCAGAGGTGTAAAAGTGCTGCTCCTTCAATGCTGCACAGCAACAGCAGGCATGATTGCTGGCTGGTAGGTAAGGAAAATCAAATCCCACTGAAACTCCTTGTGCAATTGCTGCATCCAGTTTTGTATTCTCTCTTCAGACTCAGTGTCTCTTGCAGTCTCCTCATAACTGTTGCTCACCAGTGATATTTTCCACTACTCCAAAACTGCACAGTACATTCCCCAGTGCCTTTCACCACCCCAGCACCTGAAGTGCCAGTAAAATAAGCCATGACACAAAGAGACCAAATTGTTGAGGTCTAACCTCTGCTTGGTTTTCACATCCTTCTTGTTCTTTGCTTTGAACATTATTTGCTATCCCAAGGTGCCTTTTATCCATGTTGGATTATGGAGTACTGCCTAACCAATAAACCTCTATCCCCTTTCTCCTTAAGGAATATTGCTTCAGACATCTTCCCAGCTCACTGAGCCACAAAATTACTGAACTTAAATCAAGTGTCTCAGATAATGGCAGGTTGAAAGCAAACTCTGCCATAAGAGGCAGCAGATTTGGAAGAGCACTGAGGGCTGAATGGAGTGTGTGAGCAGCTGCATGTCAAATGACTCATTTGCTAAAGCAGTCAGATCAGAAAACACTCAGCAGCAGCCCTATGCTGTTGGTTGAGAGCTGGAACTGTTACAAGCCCTGGAAACCATCAGGGACTGGAGGGGAGAGGTTCCTGCATGTGTGAATACAACCTTTCCAAATGGAGGGAGGCTCCTGGGACAGCAGACTGCATCCAGATCAAACACCAGGCCTGCACAACAGTGCTCTTCAGCCAGGTTTTACAATCCACTGCACTATAATAACACTTTGGACAGAAAACAGCCTAATTTTTTTTCTCCTGAATGTTTTTATAAAGATCACCTTCTGTTCATATGCCAGATTTAGGCAAAATATTAGTTCTTTGTGGTTTTGCAGCACCAACATGCCTGAGAKTTCAAAGCTTTCAAATTRCATTTCYACCTGCAACTTACAGGCATAGAATCAATCACAGAATGGCCTRGATTGGAAGGGGCCTTAAAGATCACCAWGTTCCAATCTCCCTGCCAGTGGTAACTAAACATGCAATGAACTCCAAGCAGAGAAATCAGGTGTACCTGGCAAGGAATTGCTGCCCCCCATTCCTGCTGGACAATATTGCAAACCCCCAGCAGCGCCGACTCCAAACAGGTTTTGTCATAATCGTCCATGTTACTCAGGGCTTCCTGCAAAGACAAAAACCAGTCATTGCTGGGGAAATACCYCTGCCAGGAGACAGCCAACAGTCACTCACAGCTCTGTGCTAAGGCAGCACCTTTGCTCTGCAGGGTAGCACGACTGCATCGTGACTCAAAGGGRAAAAAAGGGAGAAAGGTGTAAGAAATGATGAATGAGATCAGGAGACAATGACAGCTGACTTTGAAGGAACTGTAATATTACAAGCACAGCTCTTTAAGGATGAAAAAACAGCTCTGCAAGTCTTAAAAAAATGGTAAATTGAAAACCTGAGGCAATGTCTAACATGAAAAATTCAGCTGAGAAAATCCTTGTAGGTGTCAGAGTGGCTCCAATTTCTCAGAGATTCAGAAAGAGACCACAAGGAGTTTGTCTCAGGAAAAGTCTTTGGCAGAGAGAATACCAAACCCAAAAKTCACATCTGCATCCATAAACCAGCTTTCCTCCCTAAAGTGAAAACCTCATACTCAACACAGCATCACCAGGGTGCAGCTGTGAGATGARCTTGCTAAAGGAGCCTGTTGGGGCTCTTTGCTTGCAATATTCCTCAAATTAACTTTTATAGAAGTGAAAATAAATCAGAGAATATGCACTGGCACTCACCTGCTTCATTGCAAACAAAACAGAGAAAAGCTTTTAAGATCTCTTTGTCCAATGGACAAACCTAAACCATGGTGCCCTGTGATGGTGATGTGTCGTTTCCTCCTACATACGAGGGCCAGATTTAAATGCACCGTTTTTACTGGGTTTGGAGGCTTTCAGTGCCTTACTGCATTCATGTGAAATCTCCCTCTTGGACTCTTTCCTTTCCATTTCCTCCTCTGAACTTTCCACCGCATCTGTGAGGCCTCAAATCACTTCYCACTCTTGCACTGTTTTGACTGCTACACACTTTCAAAAGCATCTTCTTCCTACCAAAGCATGTTACTTAAAACTTTTCCAAATGGTCCTGTCAGCTGCATCGTTTATCAAAGCAAACCAACAACCACCCATGAAAACAAGGATATCACAAAACTACTTGTAGAGCTTCATCAGGCAGCCCTTTTCTCCATCCCACTTTTAACTCCATCCCATTTTAAAGTCAAAGGGCTCACCTGCAGAGGTGCAATTTGCAAAGTAGCAAAATGCTTCAAACACAGATTTCACCCACCCTTAAAATAAGGTCAAACCYACTCAATTCAAGACGTTGTGCACAGGATGATGCCAAATCCCACAATTTCAACATGCTTTGGTGGTGCGATTGGGTGATTTTTAAAACATGTTGATGGTTCAATGCTTTAGTATTTCACATATCCTACCTGGAGCGTGTTGTAGTCTCTGGTAAAGGGCACCATCAGCTCCCAGAGCGATGAAAACACCACCAAGGCCGTGAACTCCAGCTTGTAGTTGGTGGCCATATGCTCGAAGAGCATGGTGAGCCCGTGGGCAGCCAGGTGCTTGCGCTGGTACTCCTCGGAGCCCTCGACCGACACCGGCCGCGTCATGGACAGCGACACATCCATCACCACCACCGTGGGCATGGCGAGCTGCTCCTCCGCCGCCCTCACGGGAGGGGACGGCACCGGCCGGGATCACCTGCCTGCAGCAGGAGGAAAAGGCACAAATCATTCCCAAAGCTRCACTTGTGGAGCCACGCGTCCCGCCCCCTCACACTGATCCCGGGGACAAGCGACAATTACCCTTTTCCCACCCGAAACGCGGGCCTGAGCACAGATCAAGTGAATGCACGGCGATCCGCACACAGCATTTCCAGCCGAGTGCAGCRCAAGGCCTGGAGACGGCAGGAGCTTTCGCTGGGGAAAGGGCGCAGCTCTGCCGCTCCGAGGGCGGTCCCACAGGGATCCAGCCCTCCCCACAACCCTCCGCCCTCAGCGGGAGCTGTCCCGGAGCGCTCCCGGTTCGGTTCGGCCCGGGCTCTGCGGCGGCACCGGGAATGGAGGAGAGCGGCGGAAGGAAAATGCTGCTGCACACCCCGGGCCCGCCGCGCCGTCATGCGTCCGGCACGGAAAGCGAACCCCCGGAACGCGCGGCCCGGGCGGGAAGGACCGCGGCTCATGCAGCCCGGGAGGGCCGGCACCGCCCGTGAAGGGGGAATGGTGGATGTCGGCTCTGTGGAAATGTATGCCCGCGTGAAATAGATCGCTATGCATGGAGAAGGCGTTATGGATAACCATCCCGGCGGGGCAGTGCGTCTCCTTCTCCCGGTGTGGGAGTGAGGAGGGGCGGGAGGTGGTAAACTCCAGCGCAAAACTGCGATGTACTCCTGAAACTGTGTATTCAGACAACAGTTTGCTTTACAATTATCAYAGAGTCACAGAATAGTTTAGTCGGAAAARCTCACTAAGACCATCAAGTCCCTCCATTCCCCCAGCACCGCCAAGGCCACCAYACCCCATGTCCCCAAATGCCACATTCACAAGGCTTTTAAATCCCTCCAGGGATGGAGATTCCACCACTGCCCTGGGCAGCCTATTTCAATGCTGGGCAATCCTTTCAGTGAAGAAATTTTCCCTAATATCCGATCTAAAACTCCCCTGGTGAAACTTGAAGCCTTTTCCTCTCATCCTGTCCCTGTTCTCTGGGAGCACAGCCCCATCCTCCCCGGCTGTCCCCTCCTGTCAGGGAGCTGTGCAGAGCCAGAAAATGCCCCTGGTGTCTCCTTTTCTCCAGGCTGAGCCCCTTCCCAGCTCCCTCCCCTGCTCCTGGAGCTCCAGACCTTTCCCCAGCTCCGTTCCCTTCCCTGGACATGCTCCAGAACCTCAATGGCCTTCTTAGCATGAGAGGCCCAGAATCAAATCATTATTTTCTAACTGCCCTGTGATAAATCTGATGATCAGATTGCTGTGGCTGTTAAATCCTTGGCCAGGGAGGTTGCTGTTTCTTCCCCCGTGGAGCTGCACCGTGTCAGTGCCCCAGAAGAGTCCCAAGCACCATGCCCAGGTTGCTGTGTCCCTGCTCCTTCCTCAGCCCTGGCACTCCTGGAACAGGCCCTGAGGGGTTTTTCCAGGACACAACGAGTGGCAAAGAGCAGAGCTCCTTGTCCAGCATCTGAGCAGTCAGCCATAGGAGATGCAGCTCCATGKGCCTCGTTTGAAAGTGTTTGTGAGCGACATTTAACCCCTGCTGGTGCAGTGAGGGTGATCTGTGTCATGGCTCCAGTCCAGCAATTTGTGAAGGGGATCATCACTGCCCTCACACTGAGAATAACCTGTGGCAGCAGACAAAGGTTTTGGCTTCAGAGATAGACCCAAATCTATACAATACTATTTAATCTTCTTAGGGGCTGCAGGTATTAAATTGGATTGGCTATTCCTCCGCTAACATGTCCTTCACACCTGACCCGCTCTTGTTTCAGGACTCTGCCAGCAGAGGACACATTGTGAAAATGGGATCATTTTCACTCACCTCTCTTTGCAACAGCATCTCCCATCCAGCTGTTAAGTGTCAAAGAAGCTYCCAGCACTGCACCCAACTCCTGGAATTCCCTTCCTCCTGGACAGACCTTTGGAAGGTAGGTTGGGGAAGCTTGTTTGATTGCTTTGGATCTCATGTCACTGATAGGAGGTGAGAAAAGGAGTTTGTCAGGAGCTGATCTAAACTTAGAAGACTAGAGAAACAATTCCTCTGGTCGGGAATTGTRAAAGATTGGAGAGCTCTTAGAACTGATCCTAGCTTTGGATGTCTGTATGCTCACAAAAAGTCTTTTAAGCAGTTAATTTTGGAGAAGAGAAGTAAAACCAGTGTTCAAATTAAGTGTGTGCATGCATCTGTGTTCTCTCTGTGTCATCTTTTAGCTCTCCCATTTTCGTTAGAGTTATTTTCTCTTGATATGCAATTTTTATACCTATWGTGAAGTTCTGCCACATGCATGTTTATGTTCTTTTTACATATGAAAAGCAAAGCTTGTATCATCTGTTTATCTAGGTACTCCTATGACCCTCTCTTGCTGTTGCCTTAGTGATCCTCCCAAGTATTTAAATTAACGTTGCCTGTTTTGCAAGAAATTTAGGCTGATAACTTCCCTGGGTGTTATGCAAGAGGGTAAGTGTGTGATAACCTGCGTGAAGAGCTTATCTGAGAATGRTTTAGAAAACTATGATTCATATCCAGCTAAAGAATAATGTAACATTCCCACTCTGAGGGAAAAGAATAATCCATGATGAGTGTCATTCTAAGGTAAAACATTCAAGCAGTGCTGAAGGGTGAATTCTGTTCAGTCCCAAATCCCTGTCTCCATGCTGTCACAGCTGCAGGCACTGTCACTCTGCCATTTACAATTTCTCTCCCTTTCTAAATGCTGTTCACATAATTATGCAAGATATGCTAATTACCCCCTAATAAAAGGTATGATTACAATTCCACTTTGCCAGTTTTGATTTCTACAGAAAGCCCTRAAAAGATGTAGCCATAGAAACAAAAGGCTGCTCAGCACCTCCAGTTTTACTCAAACCATGTCTTCCTCACACTGCTCAAACTGAAGGAAAAAASTCACCCTTCCTTGGATGGTTTCCTGAGGAGTGAGAGGCTGGAAAGCCACAGAGCAGAATCACTGGGAGCTCTCAAGCAGTTTTCATCCTCCTGCTGAGGTTATTTTGGTGAATAACTGGTTTAGGAGGAGGGTTTGAACAGCTTGGTCTTGTCTTCAGAGCATCATTTCTAACAATTTAAAGGCTGGTTCCTTGACAGAAGCCGTGTCTTCTGCTGAACACTGCCCCAGTTGATCATATTACAGAATAACAACTGGAATCCATTAAAACCACAATCCTTAACAGCTCCTGGATATGGGCATTCGGTGGAGTCAGAATTCAGCTTGGATTGGACTGTCTCAGCCAACTCTCTATAAAGCCAAACCTTTGATTATTAATCAGCACAACCTGCAGTCATAGAAAAAAAATAGACTGAAATAGGGATCTAGATATCTCTTCACTTGTTTGAGTCCATTTCTTTTTATTGAAAAATGGAAAAGCAGTCAGTGAAGTATTGTTGCCCAAATGGTGGAAAGTTGCAGTACTTGGTTTTCACACCAGATTTTCTTTTGCAGGATTTCCCATTTTGTCCTGTGCAGTTCCACTCCTGATGCTCCAGATCAGCTATAAATTCCAATAGTGGATGTAAGTGCAAACTACTGACCAAGAGAAGTCTTCAGTGGCTTCTGGACACAGCTCTGCATTTTGAACCTTTAGGAAATGCATTTACCACGGAGGCGGCGGCTACGGAGGAACCGAATCTTYTTCTTGCTTGCCATAGTGTTGGTCCTCTCTTTCTACCAGCTCCAGTTCAGYCCCTCTGCCCTTCCAGCATCCCACAGAGCCCTCCAATCCATGGACCCTGTCAAAGTGACCTCCATGGATCTCCCCAGCAACAAGACTGCTGTAAGAGGCAATGCCACAGCACCCAAAATAAGGCACTGTATCTATGTGGATCCTGAGCCAGCTGTGCCCATCACTACATCAGTGGGTACAACACCACAGCAAGAAAATACCAGTGAAAGCTCCCCAGATGAAAAACCACATGAGTCCAAAGGAGAATATCCTCAGGACCTATTTAGTGTGGAAGAACGCAGGCAAGGGTGGGTTGTGCTTCACATCTTTGGCATGATGTATGTGTTTGTGGCCTTGGCCATAGTGTGTGATGAGTATTTTGTCCCTGCTTTGGGAGTGATCACTGAGAAGTTGCAGATCTCTGAAGATGTGGCTGGAGCCACCTTCATGGCAGCAGGTGGATCAGCACCAGAACTCTTCACCTCCCTCATAGGGGTCTTCGTCTCACACAGCAATGTTGGCATCGGTACCATTGTGGGCTCAGCGGTGTTTAATATCCTCTTTGTCATTGGCACCTGTGCCCTCTTCTCAAGGGAGATACTCCACCTGACRTGGTGGCCCTTATTTAGAGACATCTCATTCTACATTGTAGACTTACTGATGCTCATCCTGTTTTTCCTAGACAGTGTCATTGATTGGTGGGAAAGCCTCCTTTTACTGACTGCCTATGCCACATATGTGCTCACCATGAAACAGAATGTGTTCCTAGAGCAGTGGGTGAAGCAGGAGCTGAACAAGAAGCTGAGTGCTGTGCAGGCAGCATCAGCAGAGCACATGCAGAAGGTTGGTGTCCTTAGGGTTCAGAGGGCAAGTCTGAAGGAACATTCCATCCTGAATAAAGCAGGTGAAGCAGCAGAGGTGATGGGTCATTTTTGTTCTCTGTTGCTTGCAGATGAGCTCTGGGGCAGTTGCAGAAGATGGAACAATGAAGCCACCAGATGTGAGGAAGCTGCAGGTAGGTTTAGCAATATTACAGGGATCTGAAGTTGTGGTATTTTKAATCCCTCCCCATGTCAGGTCATGAATAAAGGTGTCAAATCCTGTGTCAAAAAACCTGGACCAAAGCCTGTATCATATCAGGCTCAATGGCCACAGTTTGCCTAAGAGGACACCTGGCTGAGGTCTGTCCTTACAGGAATTTTTATAAAATGTAAGAGACAGGCTTCCCAGATGGATTTAACTAGAAGAGTGCTGTTCATTCTCTGTTATGAACAGGCATACAGAATTCAGGAAGTGACTTTTCTTACCTGGTTTATTGCGAAATTTCCTCCTGGGCTCCCAAACCAGAGGCTGGCAGGGTCTGTCCTTCCCCATAGTAAACATCAAACAACTCATTCCTTTGTTGCTGTTGAATTGCTGCCCATGGCCTGGAGAGGCTCTGTCTGATGCAGTGGACAAGGAAGCTGGAACTGACTGACTTTGTGCCTTCCCACAGCCTGGACCATCCTTGCAGCGTGGCAGCAGCTCGACCTCCCTGCACAACTCTCAGATGCGTGGCACCATCGTCCAGCTCATGATCTACACCCTGGACCCCCTGGCAGAAGGTGAGTGCATGCTTCACACCAGAGGTCACAGTCCTGGGTGGTTTAACGGGGAGTACAGACAGTATTTTTGGGTCAACAACTCACCCTTGGGGTGCAGCTGAGCATTCACAGGTTGTGTCAGGTGAGGGGAGCTCTGTGACACTGAGATGTGTCCCTCCCGATCACGTGGCTGGCAAGGACAAACACCTCATGTTTTGGTCCAGCCATATCTGCTTTTCCTATGCCAAGCTGGTTACTGCTGTGGTGACAGCTGAGGCTGAAGTCCCTGAAAGAAGTGACAGTCCCTGCTGTCCCCCATCCCCGCTGTCCCTCTAACTGCAGCAGCAAATGAGATTTACAGTCTTCCTCTGTCCTGTGGCATGTCCCATCTTCCTCTTCTTAGCTTGGACCTTGCCCTGAAACAGCAGCACAAGAAAAGGTTAAAACCCTTGAAGAATTATCATTTTGACAATAATTAAAATCCAGCTAAGATCTAATCATGATGGTAACACCAGTTCTGTGTGATTCAGACTGACCATGAGCACCTCTGAAAGCCTGCACTGCTGTGGTGTCATCACTGCYATGGCAAAGTGTGCCCACAGCACTGTGCAGGCAATGGACAGCTCCCCAGGGCCAGGGAATGACCAGCTCATGTCCAAGACCTCTATTAAACTACCCAGAGTACAGAGAAGCCTCATCTCCCAGGGTCATTTTACACAGCTTTTTAACATGTTGCTCTATATTAACTTTAGTCCGGTCACACCATGGAGATTCATTTTCCAAGAAATAGCGAAGCACATTAAAAAAAGATGTTTTTAAGATTTTCTTTCCTAGCTCAGCACATGTCCCACCCCTCTGCTGCCCTACTTGTTCTAAAGAGATTATCTGCTGCCCATTCAAAGAGAGATTGAAGCTAAGCAGATCAACACCTCTCATGTCCCTCACAGAGGTTACAAAGAGGACTCTCCAGATCAAAATCCCAGCTGCACAAACTGACCGAGGGAACAAAGGAGGTTGGATGAGGACAGCAGGGCAGATCAGTATCTGCTTTGACAGATTCCAGTGAAAGCACCCAGTATGTAATGAACAAGAGCCAGACTCATCACARTTTGCTCTTCTGCCCTTGCCTCCTGTGCCCCAGGAAAGTTGTATCAACAGCACTGGGACAGACCCAAAACCTTCCAAGAGGATATGCCATTGCCTTGAGCATCAGAAAGTGCCATCYTGGGGGGCTGCTGCCACTCAGAGACTTCCCAACACCTTACCCTTCCCACACCTCTAAATGTCTGAGCATCTGCTCACCATAGGCCACCACAAGCTTGGCTTTCTGGTCCAGGTTGGTGCCCCAGTGAAACTCTGGGACCCCTCRGCAGGAGAAATGGGGGAGGCTGAGGTTGCCAGCCCAGGCCGAGGAGAGCCCCAGCCAGCTCAGCTGCTGGGAGTTCCCAAGGAGTTGTGAGTCACTGTCCTTGCTGAAGAGGATGCTGTTCCCAGGCCTTGTGAATATCGAATAAACAGGACTGGGGGAGCAGTCTGGATCTTCTCTCAAAGAGAACTTTCCTACTCATTACATGGAACCACAGTCTCATTTAGGTGGGGAAAGACCTTTAAGGTCATCAAGTACAATTGTTCCCCCAGCACAGTTAAAACCACCACTACACCACGTTCCCAAATGCCCCATCTGCACCTCTTTTAAATCCCTCCAGGGATGGCGRCTCCACACTGCCCKGGGCGGTTTGTGCCAGGGCTTGAGAACTCTTTCGGTGTAGAAATTCTTTCTGTTACCCAGCCTAAGGYTCTGCCGGCAGCCCGGCAGGATTGAGTGCCTGTGTGTGCGCGGCAGCCACTAGATGGGAGTGTGACCGTGTGTATTTGGGTCTGCTACAGAAGAGATCGTGCGGGGATGGGCTGCAACAGCCTCTCCTGAAGGTTTTTTATTTCCTAGACCCCTTACTTTACTTATTCCACTGAGTTACTGACAATACCTCTGCTCCAGGTATGTGTCTGGTCTCACTCTGTGAGACCAGAGGCAGCTCCTTATGAAATATGACAGTAAAGTTAGTGATATCACAACAGCTCARCACTCAAAATCAAGGAGCCAATGTGCCAGGTCCTGTGTGTCTTGTAGGAGATACTCCTTACACTCATAAATTCCTACTTAAAGAAAAGAGATTCTGGAGAAAAGGAATTTATGCATGGACTGAGAAACATAAGTGCCTTGTGGAGCTTGGCCAAAAAATGAAATTACATCCCAAAGTTGGCTCTGAAAAAGGATTTGAACCTGCCAAGGCATATCAGGACTTGTGATCTGATATGTTAATAGTTACTAGTCCTGTGTTAAAAGCCCTGCTGCCCTGTGGGACCCTGGGGACAGCTGTGCCTGCTTCCCATGGATCACCAGCACAGTCCTTCCCTTCGCTGTGTGTGCAGCACTCTTTGTACCAGGCACATTTCTGTAATTAGGCTGCCACATAAAAGATGATCCCAAAGCAATTTATCTTTCCTCAAGGGCCCTTGTTCCTTCTTGCCAAGGCCTGTAGCATCAGCACTTACAGGCTGTGGTAATGARCACTCAACAGAAGGAAAAGGCTGCCAACAGTTGCTCAGCACTTCCTCACTGAACCTACTCCAGTCAGGATTCTGTAGGGTTTCCTTCTTTCTCCTGCCCTCACTTTTTATATGGGCAGCACAGAAGTGGTTTCAGGGTAGCAAGGTCCTGAACATAGAAACATAAAAAAGCTGCCAACACTGGGCCTCCAAAACCAAATTCCAGGGAYAGAGGTCTTGGAAATACATAAATCTGAAACACAAACTTGCAACAACCCTTGTGTGAAACAAAATTTCTCATTTGAAAAGTGGATTGAGTTCAGAATGTGGGGTTTTTTTTCCTTTTGTATTAGGAAGGTATCATTACTTAAGTCTTTGTCTCTAAGGGACATGTTTACTAGAAGTTCTAATATTTACATTGCATTGTGAATTACATTTTTGATAGAACTTTTTGCTTTCAATGTACCTTTTTTTTTAAAAAATAGGATTTTTTAGCAAGTTTGTTCTTTTGTCCTTTTCCCCACTTTTTGTGAAAGCGTGTAGAAGAGCATGAGATCTTTTCAAGATCATCCCATTAGACACCAGAGGGTACTGCTGGGGAATTAAAGGGAATAAGGATTTCGGAAATGGTCAGGAACCCTCTCTTTTCTGAACCTCTAGTCTTACCATCAGACTCTTTAAACTCTAGTCACACAGGGAAGAAGGCAGAAGCCTACATTTCTTTTTGAATGAGGCAAAGTCTCCAGCAGTGAAATTGTTAGAGCTGCCTGCCCTCACTATGCCCCAGTTAACAAGGTAATGATTTTGGAAATTAGACCAGAGCAGTGGGCACTGTTGCAGCTGGAGAAGGCTGAAGGCAGCTACAGCTTCTCCTTGCTTCATTAGCATTCTATCATTTGTTGTAGGAGAATCATGATTCCAAGGGGCAATAGGAATCACAAGGTATTTTTTTAACTCCTTTTTAAGTTTTAGACATCACAATCTCCGAATCATTTAGGTTCATGCCAAATCGTACAGAAAAACATCCTCCCTGCTGATCATGTTGTGAATCCTGTTTGATTGAATATTAGAGCCAAAGAGGGAATTAAATGTAAGAGCCAAATTCAAGGTAGAAGCTCRGTTGCCACCTGAAGTACATCCTGGATTCAACTCGGAGGACAAGAATTCTCCTGGAGAGCATCTTAGTGCCAATGGACACAAACATGTCCCGTGTGATGGGTTCTCAGCCCTGGGGACAGAGTTGCCTGCAGTAAATGCCCCAGGGGACAGAGAGGGACACTGCCCTGCACAGCTAATCCAGCCCAGCAAGGACTGAGCTCAYGGATCCTTCTTCCCCGTGCTGACCTGCAGATCTGGCCAGCTTAGCTCTGCCTCCAGTCTYAGTCCCTCCTGCAGGAATTGTGTGTCAGAGGAATTAACCCTTTTAAACAAGGCTGATCTCATGAGAACTGGACARTGGCCTGGGCCTAATCTGTTTATCCTGACACAGAGATGCTCCGGGGCTYCACTCAGCACTCCAGCCCTGTGGCCTGGCTGAGGGCAGGGAGCCAGGAGCTTGAATTTCTATAATCTCAGGCTGATCCTGACCGCCCTGACCCTGCTGACAGGAGCTTTTGCAGCAGCTTCTGGGAAAAGCCAAACAGAAGGATGCATTGCCCAGTGCTTAGAGGAGACTGGGAGCAAAARGTCTCCCCTGCATCGAGGGATGTGCTTGTACACAAGGGGGAAGGAAGCAAAATGCTTCACATCCCCTCCAGTGCCCTTCAAGGAACACGGAAGACTCAGGCTCTTGAGTCCCAGTCAGCCTTTCAAAGGAGAAGAAATTATCATTTAGATTAGAAATTCTTACCTGTGAGGGTGGGGAGGCCCTGGCACAGGGTGKCCAGAGAAGCTGTGGCTGCCCCTSGATCCCTGGAAGTGCCCAAGGCCAGGTTGGACACTGGGGCTTGGAGCAACCTGGGATATTGAAAAGTGTCCCTACCCATCACAGGGGGTGGGACTGGATGGGCTTTAAGGCCCCTTGCAACCCAAACTGTTCTGGTACTCCACAAAAATTTCATCTCAGCTCAGCCATTCGAGTGCTCAGTGGAAATCCCAGCTGGTGAAAGATGTTTCTGTCAGTACCAGGAATCTCACTGGAATAGGACTTGTCCCCTGAGGTCTTAATGTCTGAACTGGGCCAGTTATTGGACATATAGCAGAATTTACTGATTTGCATGAGGTTCAGCTCAGAACAGTAGTTCTGCCCACATGGCTGGACCTGATATTTTTATTATTTCAATGTCATTGTGATTAATAAAGTGGCAGGGCCCTGCCCTTGAGGCAGATGACAACAGCACCTTCTGGGTGCATAGTCAACAGCACAGTAGATTAAATCAGTGTGATAAAACTTTCAGAGGAAATTAATTTACAGCCTTGCACACAAGCCAAGCACAGCATTGGCCAATTCCTTGTGGCTACTGTCCATATGCAAACCCAGTGTCATTGGGTGTGCAGCTYGATAGAGGACATAGATTAGTGCAAAATAGGCCTTTTCCTTGAGCCCAGTCTTGTTCACTTTCAGGGAGAATCAGCAGTAAGATATCTGAGCAAAAAACAACTATGGAGACACGGAGTTCACTGTGAACCATAATAAAGCAGCTCAGCTGAGTACAGCAGGGCTTGATTTACAGTGGAAGAAGCCCGCAGCAGTCCCAGAAACAGAACACCAGACCTGTGCTGGTGAAGAGCATCTCTCAGACAGCCTGGACCATGCTGAACCTGGATATCAGGAGTTTAGATTAGCTCCAGCAGGAGACACTTGTGTATACTTAGAAAACTCRATCCAGAGAACTGGAACATAAAAGGTGTTTGTTTTCCCTTCYCATCAGGTCCCCAGGCAGTAAGCAGCACCCCAAAGTCTCTTCAACARCTGCATGGCAGGAGGAAGATGTCATTTTTTGTTTGCACATAATCTAACCTGGAAAAAAATCAATAGCCCTTTGGGAACAAAATGATATTGAATCAAAACTCCTCTGTTCTTTCTGCATTTTCTTCCTATGAAGTACAGATACCCAGAGTATTACTGTTCTGGAAAGAATTTCTCATCCTCTAGATTCTCTTTAAAGATGATGGCATTAGTTCTATGTCAGATTGCTGGTGTAATTGCTGTAGCGCTAAGCAGTTAAATACAACAGCTATGACCAACTCACAGCACCCAAAACCTGCAGTCACAGCCAGAACAAYTCCTGGGGCAGCACTGGCTGCAGCCCCTGCAGGAGGAAGGGGGCAAGAGCAGGAGTGTGTTGGGGGAGGCAGCTCAAGGGGGGCTTTGCACAGTGACAGCTCCTGATGATGGTGTCCTTCTCACCCACAGCAAAATTTAAAGACAGGGTTGACATCCTGAGCAACATGGCCAAGGCCAGGGCTGAGACCCTGGAAGGACAAGGCTCCCCTCCAGGTGAGTGCAGGAAGAGCCAGTGCTGTTTGCCTTGGTTTGCACTGCAAACCCTYACCTTCCCAGCACACAACTCCCAAGGGCTGGCAAAGAAACACCGGGRTCTAACACAAATTTTGTGCTGTTACTGGTCACAGATGGCTGCTGGAACAATGCAGCACAAGTCAATCGATGCACTTGTGCAGGAACAGCCAGCCCCAGAGGAGCTGTTAGTGAGGGCAGAGTCTGGGCAGGGAGAGCTRCAAGGATGGACTGGAAATGGCCCTGGAACTGTGCAGGAGGGAAATCAAGCCATTGCAGGCAGCACTTTGGTGCTGCTGGTCTTTGGTACACCCTGCAAATGAAGTGTTTGTTAAAGCAAAGTACCTCACACACAGAAAGGCACAGAAGGTTCTTCCAGAGGGAATAAACTGCACTGACTGTGTCTGTATCAATGCCAAGGATTTGTGCACCCTCCCTTTAATAGAATCACAGAATGGTTTGGGTTGGAAGGGACCTCAAAACTCACCCARTTCCACCCCAGGGACACCTTCCACTGTCCCAGGCTGCTCCAAGCCCCATCCAATGTGGCCTTGGACACTTCCAGGGATCCAGGGGCAGCCACAGCTTYTCTGGSCACCCTGTGCCAGGGCCTCYCCACSCTCACAGGGAACAATTTCTTCCTAACATTTAATCTAGATCTGCCCTCTGTCAGTTTAATCTTTTTTGGGGGTTTTCTCTGCTGCTCCTGATACACAGGATTTGTGAGCTACCTCAGAGGCAGAGCTGCCCTATGCTACAACCACAGGTCTGTGCTTCCAGCAAGGATGGAGATTTGGAACACGGAGAAACTTTGGTGTGGAAGGCCCCATTACATTGTCACACCTGAACATCTCACAACACTGGGCCTCACAGAGGTTAATGAGCCCAAACTTGAGAAAAATACTGTTTAAAACCCAAGTAAATTCTTGGTGTTGCTATGAATACCACACTGACTTCCCTCCCTCACCTCTGCTCTGTTATCCATGTTTCTACTCCATTCCCACAGAGGTTTCTGTGTTCCTCTTGGCTATGCAGGTTAACACAGGAACAGCAGGACAGTGCAGTTATTTCCTTGTGTGTGTCAGCACTTTCCTATTTGCTTTTGCATAGCCATCAGATGATCAGGGATTAAAAACTGGCAGCACATCCCAGTAATTTCTCAAAATTGTTGAAGAATATCAGTTCCCTGGAGAACACTGTGCTCTGCTGGGGGAAAAAAAACCAAGAGAAGCAAATCTTTATATCCTTTCGGTCTTTTTAAGGATGGTTTTCATACAAACTACAGAATCTAGAAAGAAACCAAGAAATGCTCATCAGCTGCAGATAAGATAATTAGCATTACATATTTTTACACATGTGCTCCTTGGAGCAGTTTGGGATGGAAGGTCAGAGGAGCATCAAGGTCTCATTCTACTGCAGGTGAGCCAAATTCCACCCAGATTTACCAAACACAATCACAGCACTCAGGGAACACACACAACAAACCTAAGCAACCTGAGGGTGTTWAACCTGAAATGCCACCATTGTGGTAGGGAGCTCAGAGCACTTGTTGGTCACACAGAAGGTGACACTCTGGTGTGGTGATCACCCAKCCAAGATGACTGAAACCAGCCTTCCTTCTTATTGCTTTTTGTAGAAGAGGAAAAGAAAGCACCGAGCACCRTCCAGGTAACTCCTGCCAGTGACTCTGAGCCCAGCAAAGACAGACAGAAGGCAGATGTGCCACAGGATGGACAGGTATCAAAATCACTGTCTGTGCTTCTCAGTGCCCATCCAGGCTGACCTTCACATGGACTTTCCTTCTTCCCTCTCCAGAGCTTTTGGGACAGGACCCAACCCATGTCACTGGCATCTATAAATAGCTTCTGTGTGTAGTGATTTACTAAAATGCTGGCTGAAACATTTTGCCTTACAAACACAAATTGGGTCCAAATTATGACACCAACTGAGACTGGATAGTATTGTCCCCTCAAATGACTCTTCTCAGGTCAGAGGGTACTCCAGGGTAAGGAAGATAAGAGCAGCTACTTGTCCTGTGCTCACCTGCAGACCCTTCTCTTTCGCTCCCCAAATCCCTTTCAGGTGATGTAATTTAGCAGTTCTGAGAAAAAGTTTTTCATGGACAGAAAATGTTTAATTTGTATCAAAACTCCATCTAAAAGGTGGTTTTAGTTAATGGATGCCCATTAGTTCACAATACACAGGTGCTGGGGTGGGGTGGGCCTGGATCCTGTCCCACAASGGCAGCCACAGCTCACAAATGTGAGCTCTGCTCAGGTGAGGCTGCAGTGAGTAACTGCAGCTCCTTCTTAGTGTGCAAACATATTGGCTCTTTGATTTTTTATCCTGATCTACAGCCCCTGTCAAGCAGTGACACCTCAGACGACAGCAGCTCTGAGAGCCAGGACAGTGATGGTGACAGCACAGAGGGTGATGAAAGCGATGAGCCCTTATCTCTTGAATGGCCAGAATCAAGGAAAAAACAAGCAATTTACCTTTTCCTCTTTCCCATTGTTTTTCCTCTCTGGASCACTCTGCCTGACGTCAGAAACCCAGTAAGAATTTATCTTCCTTCTGCTACTGGAGTCATTAACTGAGCTATAGATTTTCTGTGGGCAAGAGTCCCTGGGTCCATTTTTCCACATCAGGAGTCTTTGCATAGCTGAAGCGCTGTGACTGCTGCAGGGATTGGGACAGGAGTCCCAGCTGCAGTGTAATGTTATTCCAGAGACTTAATAATTTAATAAACCACAAATTCTAGCAACTACAGGTCACCTAATCAAGCTGAAAATCAGAGCAAATAGAGACCAGGTTCCAAGTTAAAGCAATCAATTGCAGTGAAGTRTTTCAGGTGAAGAGTTTTCAATGGGGACTATTAACTTTCCTGAAACTGTTCTTTTTTTCTTTTCAAACTTGATTTCAACAGGACTCAAAAAAATTCTTTGTCATCACATTTTTTGGATCCATCCTCTGGATTGCTGCATTCTCTTACCTCATGGTGTGGTGGGCTCACCAGGTGAGAGGTTTATGTTCTTTCTGCAAATCATCATTTCAGAAAAATAGATGGAGAGAGGGGACAGCGTTACTGTGGCATTTTATCTGATGAATTACAGCTGCACTCATCCATCACAGCAGYAGAAACTTTGTTTTGTTAGGACCCAAAAGGGAATTTTTTATTTCCTTCTTTTTGATTTGACAAAGATGCATTCATTTCTGAGAGCTTCCAAGGGAGTTTATGCATCAGYGAAAGGAAAAGTACCATCAAGATTTATCTTAATTCTGACTTTTCACTGATGAATGTTTCTGTGCAGAACATAATTATCCATTACCTAATTAAAATTCTAGGAAAATATAGGGTCTGATTCTGGAAGCTGCTAAATGATCTTCACCTTGCCCTGTCCTAATGTTCACCTGGTATTCTGGGAAATAATACTTCCATCTTGTAGGATCAGCTCCACAATCTGTATTGAGTGATATATTGMACATGAACAGTAAATCTGATCATGCCATAAATCCAAAGGCTGTCATCTCCAAAGGCCCTTGGATCTTGCAGAGCTGATGTTAAATTTGGAAAGGTAGATAGCATTCAGAAGAGGAGGACTGCAGACAGGAAAATTGTGCTGTAGCTGACTTGACCTTGGCTCAGTGCTGGCATGACTTTGGTCACTCCCTACAGCAAATCCAGAATCAACAGACACGTACTGTTTAACTTTTTATCCCATAAAGCAGGAAAATGCTGCCACATGTACAGGACTCAAGAATATTTTAACTCAAATATGGCACCCTAAAGCTGCACACAGCAATAGTATTCCATGTCCCAGTGCTAACAGTCCTATCCAACTGTGTTGATTAGGTTGGTGAAACAGTTGGGATATCAGAGGAGATTATGGGGTTAACCATACTGGCAGCAGGCACATCCATCCCTGACCTCATCACCAGTGTCATCGTGGCACGGAAGGGCTTAGGGGACATGGCTGTGTCCAGTTCCGTGGGCAGCAACATCTTCGACATCACTGTTGGGTGAGTACCAGGGCAATGCTAAGAGATGCATTTCTTCTGAAAMACAAAATTACCTGGTTGGAAACCAAACATGCCTCAATTAATTTCATTTTAGCTGTAGTTAAATGAAGAACAGCTGAGCAACCAGTTCCTTCTAAAAAAACCCAACCCAAAGCAAAACCCAGCCAAGAAAGAAACTGTTATAACTCTGCCCACAATCTTCACTCAATTCTGAATCAACATTAAAGTAACAMTTTTTCAAGGCAAAAATACAAGAAATCTTGGGGTAACATCAAAGTTCTACAGGCAGGAACTTTATCTGGTCCCTCACAGGCTTTCAGCTCCTGTGCARGGTCAGTATCAGTGCCTGGATCTCCCATCCTAAAGCATCAGGACATTTCTTCATTATAGCACTCCAAGGCCCTTAATTATTAGGTATTATTTTCAAATCCCTTTTACTCTTGGATTGCATCATGATAGTGCAGGCATTAGCCAAATGCARTTTTGACAGGAACAACATCCAGTTTAGATTTATGCTGAGCTATATTGAATACAATCACGCTTCTTTTTCCTGTAAGATTTGGAAAAATTGCCTAGTTATGATGCAGAAAACTAACTGCCTTAAAACATTTATTTCAATTACTTTTCCTTTCCTTGCAGCTTGCCAGTTCCCTGGTTCCTTTTTTCTATCTTCAATGGCCTCAGCCCCGTAGCAGTCAGCAGCAATGGTTTGTTTTGTGCAATTGTTCTCCTTTTCCTCATGCTCTTGTTTGTGATTATTTCCATTGCTATCTGCAAATGGAAAATGAACAAACTACTAGGGCTCACTATGTTTGCTCTTTACTTCGTATTTCTGATCATCAGTGTGATGTTAGAAGACAAGATAATATCCTGCCCAGTATCAGTATGACGTGGACAATTCAAGATGTGTGTGAGGATCCAGCAACATCAAAAGGGGGTTGAGGTAGCAGTTGTTCTACTGAAAAAAGCAACCAGAATTGTACAAACTTACTAAAAAKAAGGTATCTTTAACATGCTTAAAAATTAAATAAATCTCAAGTTGTGTGTGAGCCTCTACAGTTTTTCTTCAGRATCAGAACAGATACTGAAATGACCAATATCAAATAACACACATTTAGGCACYTGTGGAATGGCTGATACAATTTAGATGCATCAAAATTTCAATATGGCTGATCCCCTCAAATGAAAGGAGCTGATTTTTAGCATGGAATATTTACTGATTACAGGAAATTTTCAGGAACACACACTAAAATACTCAGTGAACTGCTCAAACTCCCTGGACTCAGAGAATTTTACTTCAGTGGGCAGAGAATCAGACTGATGTGGCTGGGCCTTTACAGAACTGCTCTGCTTAAAATCCCTGAGAGGACACACAATGAACTCCCTCAAACTGCACTAAGCTYCTTTCAAATCTGTACCTGACCTTGCAATGCAGTCCCTAAAATTCATGTGAAGTGCCACCAGTACAAGTGTGATGTCACCTGGGTTTACATTTTGCTACAACAAGTCTAAAAGGCTTTGGGGTTAGAATAGCACATTACCTCTAATCAAAACTAAAGCCAGGAATCAAATACTACAACAAGGAGTTGAACTGCTGGGGGCTTGTTTTCATCCTGACACTAATCTCTGACAGTTACATATTATTTAACCAGCACTAATTCTCTTGTTAGCATGGACTTCTACATAGACAAGATGAAAAAATGCCACTGACATCAACAAACCTGAGAGGTTTATTGTTAATACCTCATGGGGGCAAACAACAGGATTAAGAGTTGCAGACATTTCTGTCCCTCTAATCCAGCTAATAAAATGTTAATGAAAGTAACCAGAAAGATTTTAAGCTTTTTATTGACTCACTGTAAAACTTCTTTTTTTGGATGAGACAGAAAAAAAACCCTTAACATTGTGAACATTAACTTTGCATATTTTAAAGGAACTACAAACCAAAGCAAACATCCAACATACTGGTTTTTGGTAAATAAAATTTAAACATTACATATTTACAAATCTACAACCATTCATTTAAAAAGTGCTGCTTGCAGACTAATGAAGTACCATTTTTAAAATCCCAGTGAGATAATATCCAGAAATACCCCTCTCTATTATTACTATTTGTATCTCCCATTTGTTACACAATGATTTTACATGCAGGAATTTTCTCTTTCTTGGGATACAAACCATTTAATTTGCCAGTGGAAGTCAAATTCATCAGGCTGTAACTGTACCGACAGCAAACCTTCTCAAATGGGACATAGCAGTGTCACAGAAACAGCACAATTTCTATTCACATTTCAGTATTTCATCTCCAATAATTATTCCAGTGGAACCATAAGTGAAGCAAAATATATATTGCACTGCAAATGTAAAACCTTTGTTTAAGGTTTTGGACATAAGCATTCTTTAGTACACAAAAGGAGAAAATTYAGTTCATACAAAATTTTAAATTGAAAATATGTCTCAAATATTTTATTTACTCATCTTTGTGRTATTGGAAAATATAGTCAAATTGCTTTTCTAATAAAGGAGAGTGAGATTTGAAAACTGTTTCAACACTGAATTGTATGATGCTTAAAAATTATAGACCTCAGGATACGTTTGGAACATTAGGACTTGAGGAGAATTGCCCACTTATAGTATATTGTTATTCCAACTCTATTTTTATATATTTCTATAGTGGACTGACTTGCAACAGACTTTATAAAACAATTCATTAAGTATGATTTCACTCAATGAGCTACTACATGATATAGTAATTTAAAAGCAGACCCAAACTAATATCAGCAAGGCTTCAGGAGTGCCACGCTGAGCATTCAGGAACAGAGGGATTGTTTGAGGGCTGCACGGCCAATCCTGTTCCCGGTGCAGTATCCACTACCTGATACCGGGGGATATTGGAAAGAAGTACAACTGGTTGAGTTGGTAAGTCTGAAGGCAGTTGGAAGGACTTACAAGGAGGCTGGGACAAGGGTGGAGGAAGGGCCACGTGTGGCAGTGTTGCCCCCACAGCTGCACTAACACACGCCATGTCCTGGGGACGGGGACCGGGCTCGTCACTTGGGCCACCCCGGAATCGGAGTGGGAAGCTGGGTCATAGCTCAGCCCCTTGAACGYCCCATGGCAGCTCTGGAAAAAGCCCTTGCTCTCTCTCCTTTCATGGCTTGAAGATCCTATAGAACAGTGGCTGCTCCAGTGGCAAATGGAAGCAGAACTGCAGGGAGCTGGGAACACAACCTTACCCACGGTATGCCCAGCTATGAGCTTAAATGCAGCAACTRCTGGAGGCACGTCTTCCATGGTAATGCAGCATTCCTACTGTACAGAGAAGAGCAGCCATGCACACCAAGGGGCACCTACAAGGAATGGGATCAAAAATAGCCTGCTTATTTCACACTGGTTCAGAGGAATGAAGAGGGTATGACTACCATGATCCTGGGTGAAWAAAGGAGCTCCATTTCATGCACAAGGAATACTGTACAAGCGTGGCAGTACAAAAGAGCATCACAAATTGTTAAAATAAATTAAATGTGAAAGATGTTCTAAGTGTAGCATTGCCAGCTCCACCTCAGGTGAGGAGATACTTTCAAAAAGGTCAGCTACATAATTAGCAGCACGTTAGAGAAGAGGCATTACTCGATGGAAGCCGTGTCCAAGACTACATCCCGCAATTATCATCAGCACAAACCCGCAGCTCTACACATTTTAAATCCCTTCTTCTTAGGGTAGCATCTTCTTACAAGTTTACAGAGGTCTGGGAGGAGGTTACAGAGCTTCATAGCAGCATTACTTTTCATTTAAGCCTCTAAGGCTTGCTCTATTTCACTTAATAAAGTAAATGTGAGCWTTAACATTTATCACCTTTCTGCCTAACTAAATATTGCTGGTTTATTACACTTGCAAACTAAAGAGGTTTTTAAAAACACCTACTGGTAGGCAGACTGCAATATAAAATCTAATGTAACAGTTTAATATTTGGAAGTATTATAACAGCAACAACTTAAAGAAATTAGAACTAGGAAATCATTAAGATTAATTAAAATAAAGCTATTTGTTAAAGCATGATTTAATTTGTTTAGGGTGTTTTATACAGTTCGATGTCTGTTTTCCCACCTCCATGCAAGACTTCTGATATTTTCCCTGTAGCCTCGCCTGCCTTCTGGTGAGGAGTTGCTATGTGACTGAGAGCACAGAACATTTTTTAAATGTCTRGAACAAGAAAACATGACGCAAAAGCCATGACTCCACCACAAGGACTGATATAGGAGTTTTCTTCAGAGGAAAAAAAAAAGTTGTTTTGACTGTGAAATAAACACTGAACATTCTAAGTATGTTTAACTATGCACAATATGCCCCAATAAATTACATTCCCTAAAAATTCCCTGTAGGAAGTTTTCTGGATGTAYTTGAGTTAGAAGCTTTGAATTGGCATTATGTAGGTGTCATATTGAGTGTGTTTCAAACACAACCACCGAGACTCTGAGTGCTGTGTGTTTATGGAGAACTCACTGCAGGCTGGCATTTGCTCTGTGTCACATCTGGAATGAGGCCACATTAACAAATGCCAACAGCTAAGATGGGTTGATTCCATAGCATAATCCATAGGACTCTTCAGTATGCTTTCCCTTTCCCAGGGAGTGGGGAGGAAAGGGAACATGAGAGGGAGAGGAGATTTCTACAGAAGTGTTTCACAGAGACATCAGTGTGTTCATTAGAGTTTTGCAAAATTTACCATACCTTCCTTCTGATTGCTGTGGTAACACGCTTTCCAAGTGTGCATGAGAGAAATCCTGGATCTCGAGTACTGTCTAGGTGAAGGTTAACATTTTCTATTCTGCTTTAAAAACAAATCACTCTTCAAAAAGTAACTGGACAAGTTACTATAAATAGCAGTGTACTGCAAAAAAAATAAGCACTGTATTGCTTATGCAGCAAGTCCATTTAAAATTCACTCCAGTAATTTAAAAAAATTAAAAAAATATCAACTTACTATAAACAATTTAAAATATGTATAATACAACTTTGTATGCTCTTCATAACATCATGAATATTCTATGTAAACAATAGATTCTGAAGAATTTCCTTCGCTCACATTAGTTTCAGTGCATTGTTTCTGTCCACCTGTTGCTTAATTTTTTTTTTTTAAGGGAGCTGTAATATGTTGTCCTAGGTCAGAGAACTGGTTTTGTTTAGAACCTGCCTCTCCACACYGATTTGCAGAAAGGACAAGGGACAGGGAAATCATATTTGGCCCATTTTGCTCTCTGTCCATCTCCACAACYGCAGCCAGGCCGAATTTCCCGAGGCCTCCTGCCACAGTCCATCGTATGCACGTTCCTCAACACTGAAGACTGAGATGTTCCTTGTGACTGAAGTGGTTATTTTACACAGGGATACGTCATAGATATCACCTCTTTAGCCAGTTATATTTAAAGATATGGTTCTCCAAAAATCTTTCTGCATTCCATCACTCCAGTGCTTGGTGGTCTATCRCAGTTATGAGTGTTCTTCACTTGATTAGCAGTGAGACGATCATAGGCCATTTTGTACTCTCTGTCAAAAGCATCTGCACAAAGGGAAAAACAACTTCAGGCACCAAGCTCAAAAACACCATCCAAATGCCATGACAGCTGCATTTATCAGCAGAAAATATCTGTAAAGTCCTTTTTACTTGGCACTTACCACAGAGTGGCACATATCTATCTACAGATTTTTTTTTTCTGGAAGCTGAATAACTAAGTTTGCATAAATTCATCATCTATGCTCATTTGAATAGCTGGCAGAACTCACCTATATCGATATTATCTCTTCCCAGGGCAACAAGTGAAAGAAACAGTATTTCTCTGTAAAGGCTCCTGAAATGGCAAAAAACCAAATCAATTTATATACTGCACTGATACAGCACAAAACAATCCCTATTAAAAACTCACTGAA